TGGCATGTCACCATATTCTAATTTGTTGAGATAGTGAATTGGTGGGTTTTTGTTAAATGTGAGCCAAAATCATCACAATTAAAAGAACCAAAGACTTAAACTACTTCAGTCTGTGTGCATTGATTTTATTTAATACACAAGTTTCACAATTTGTGTTGAATTACTGAAATAAATTAACTTTACCACGACATTCTAATTTATTGAGATGCACCTGTATATTGCTTTTTCATTGACGAGATTTGGCCCTTTATTTTGGTTGTCACATTACTCAATTACGGCTTTTATTTTGAAATTTGTAAGAGCAGTCATTGCGCACTAGTGACAGGAAGTCCGATTCGTGTGCACGAATCGGTTCATTTGAACAGTTCATTTCAAAGCACTAGTTCAAGAAATGATTCGGGTATACTTTTACGTCATCGCAGTGGAACCTGATACATTCCAATAAAGTCATTTTTATTCACATAATGTTGTTCATTATCAAGTATTTTTTCGCCCTATTAAACAAATACTGGTAGTCTATACTTCAAATGTTCTTACTATCAGCTCACTACGAATTGGATAGGTCTGAGCGTTCACGGGTTAGTGAATTAGTCGGAGTGCGTTATTTCCGCAAAAGATTCACCTGTGAATAGTCGATCCTAACTCTTCTAGAATCTTCTTCTCCTCGGTTTTTTATTTTTATTTTTTTTGTCTCCTCGTTGAGAACGGGCATCCGAAGCCAGTTTCTGGCATTTGTTTAATGAGAAATAAAAATAAGGATGATCCAGTTCGTAAATGAATCATTCAATTCAATCATTTTATCAACCCGTTGAACTGATTCAAATGATCCGACTCATAAGAACGAGATTCGGACATTCGGGCCACATGGTATGTGGTATTACCACCATAGGGGTATTACTCGGATCCAAGGGCTATAAAACATGCTAGTTACATCATTTCTTCAGACAGCTATTCCACGAATATTATAGCAGCTCAGCGATTATTGTTACAGTACAGAACGATAATGTTCAAGATAATTTGGTTTCTGAATCGATTAATACACAGTGGTGTGTCAAAACACAGAGTAAGTGTCTGATTTCTTATGTATTTTAATTACGATCACTGATCAAATAAGCATACAACTGAAATATGTATTTCTATGACCACGGCACCGTCAATGTGCTGTTGTTGTTTTATGTGCTTCTGTTGGTTGTTTTCCAGAGTGTTGCGAGGTTGTGGTCAAATGCAGCAGAGGGCGCTGTTGCTCCTCCAGCAGACTGCAGAATCACAGCAGAGCAGGCGATCAGATTGTGGGCTCAACACTTCACACTGCACGGCATTTCAGAGCCCCTTCTCTCTAGCCAGTACATCATATCTCATGTACTAGGCGAAAAAACTGTGAGTTTCAGTCTCATCATGTTTTGATACAATGTAAATTATGTAGACATTATTCAATGTGTAAATGCTTGAATGTATTCAGTGATCTGTTTGATTTGAGTTTCCACCAAAATGCTGTTATTATTTTTTTTATGTTATTTAAAAATGTATTTTATATTTCATGTGTATACATATATATCTATACTTATTTATATTTACACACACACATATACTGTGTATATATATATATATATATATATATAATTTTGCATTGTTTGGTTTGGTTTTGATACCGGTACAACTACAAATGTGTGCAGGCATTTAGTGTGTGTAAAATAAGGGTTAATGAGAATTGCAATTTAGATTTTTATTTTATTGATTCCAGTAAAAAAAAAAAAAAATTAAGTACTTTAAGAAATTAGTTTTCAATTCACTCCCATTCCTTCCTCTTTTCAAAATCAAAGACATACCTACACTGTGTCCTTGTCTTTCTTTGCTGAAAGCTGGAATGTGTGCAGAGGAAAAGGCTGAGAGACACCCTGACTGACAGGGAGAGAGAAAGAGTGTGGGAATTGGGCTCTAAACGTCTCACAAGGTACTACATTTTACAAATATACTCGCTACAACTTTACTGAGTTTTTAATGATTAAGACCACGTACACACGTGTGAAGGCCTTCACAGAAGTTCATTAAAGTTATTTTGAATTGAGTTCTTTAAAAATATTATTTGTTATTCATTGACTCTCCTTAGATTAACACTAAACCATTTCTGTGGACTTTTAACTTATTCCACCCACTGATCATTTCTTATTTATGTCTAGCGAAGGAAGGTTTTTTTTCCAACGGCCAATATTGATGGTGATACAATGAAGATATGCAAATAATAAAATGAAAAATGAAATATAAACAAAATTGGTAACACTTTAAAATAAGGCCGCATTTGTGAAGGTTAGTTACTGCATGAAATAACAATAAACAATTATTTTGTTACAGTAGTTATTAATCCTAAAAATACACCTGTTAATTAGTTAGTTCATGTTAGCTTAAATAATATTAACAGATAAAACTTGATTTTAATAATGTGTTATTACATGTTGAAATGAACATTAATTTCCTTAATTAACCTGTGTGCACATGTATTTTTTAGGATGCCTGTACAATATGTGATTGAGGAATGGGACTTCAGAGACCTGACCCTTAAGATGAGGCCTCCCGTGTTCATACCCCGTCCTGAAACAGGTGAAAAGCTTCAGTGACCTAGTTAGCATGTGTCCGAATTTTGCAACAAACTTCAATTGGACGTGACTTTTTGGATAAACGGCCTGTGTGTTTGAAAACAACATTTATTTCCATTTGGACCCGCTGGTTTGTGTGCATGTAGGAGCTGGTTAATCTGGTTCTAGAGGACCTCCGGTTGATACGGGGGGAATCGCACACAACTGATTTAAGATGTCTGGATGTAGGCTGTGGATCTGGAGCCATCTCTCTTAGTTTACTTGGCAGCATTCCACAGGTTTGCACTCAGTGTCTTTTTTCTAATTATTTGTCTTGCTCTTCTGAGTAATGTAGCTTGTCATCTTTAACATCTGTACCCATGATTCTTTAAGCTCAGGGTATTTGCTTTGGATCAAAGCCAGACAGCAGTATGTCTTACAATGGAAAATGCAAACAGGTGACCACTAGCACATGTGTTCACCATTGACTATATATTATATAGCTTCTATATTTGGATCTTTATTACTTGATTTATTATTTTGACTCTTTCATATGTGTCATTATCCTCTTTTGTTTGTTCCAGACTGGGTCTGCAGGACAGACTAGATGTTCACCTTTTAGATGTGATTAAGGGTAAGAGTGATAAGAGGGAAGACCGAAAATCCCACTCAGCAATGACTGGTCATAACAGTTAATTATTATTGTGAGACTGACTTCTTGTGAAAGTGGCAATTTTTGGTCCGCACACAACCAACGTCATTTCTGGTCAGCTTGCCTATTTTACGTCACTGACTGTTATCTGGTGGTCAGGTTTTAACAAATAAATGTCACAAGAACATTTTACTGTAAACTTAACAGTTACATATCTCACACACACACACACACACGCATATATATATGTGTGTGTGTGTGTGTATTTAATATAAATGTTTAATATATATATTTAAATATAAATCAGCTGTTTATTCACCTAATAATAATGTGTATTTATTATACAAATTAAGGCTTCAGGCTCATGTTATGCTTTCACACAGATGATTATGTTTCTAAACAAAAAATAACAGGATATTTGGGTTGCGACATTAAGTATTTCCTTTAATAATGGTTATAAAATGGTTATCAGGAATAAGCTATCAAGATCTATTACTTACTTAATTGTCATGAAATTTCATTTTTATGAGGAGAACCACATTTAAGATCCAAATGATAATGAATTTAGATGGAACACGAATCCCAAAGTGCAGCGCTAAACTGTTTAATCATCTGGATTCAGTTACTTTCCATGCAGAATGTGCTGCTTGTGTTGATCTCGCATCTAGCCTTGAGAGATTTGAATAAACGAAGGTTAAGTTTAATTTGACAAAAGCTGACAGAATGGAAATATTTCTTAGCCAAAGTGTCATCAAAGCCAGGTCAAGACTAGACATGTTATTTTCATTCTTTGTTAGTTTCTTCACAAATGACTTGCTGATGTTTCAAAGCTGAGATCAAACTTTAACAAGGCCACTTGGCTGTTTAGCGTGTGGAGAGGAATGCAGCATGAGGGAGTGACTAGCAGCTTTTGATTGTCCCATTTCCGTGATTTTCTCTCTTGTTATGACTGGCCGAAGCGATCAACGCATGAGTCACAAGTAAACTGTAGACCTGCACGTAATGCACAACTCAAAATTCCATAGAAAGCTCCATGCATTTCTGCAGAACTTGAATGTCGGTCATTCCATACACAATTCTACACATCCCACACTCCTTGTATGTTTATTTATTAAATATTGTGGCTAATTTCATCATGCTTTCAGATGCCAGTAATAAGCTCCATTTTCCACATTTAAATACGTGCCACAAAATTTCCACCCACAATCCGTGAAGAAACTAAAAAGAGTTCAGGGATTCATTGTGGGCCTTATCATTAACATTCATAATTGTTTTAGCATTAGTGCAACTTGAGCGCTAGTAGATAATTGAGACTTCGATGGATCGAGCCAGACGATTCAGCCAAATCCTAGAAGGGCCTCTAAGGTAGTGACAGATTTATTGGGCTTTTCCTGTTAAAGATCGTGCCTCTCTTCCCGCTAGATGGCATTAAAAACAGCCCGTCTGAATGCTAAATACTATATTTTTAACTCTGTGGCCTACCCACATTACTATTATTAGACTCTGAGATGAACTTGTTTGCTCTTTAAACGCTGCACTTCACTGACCGCATAAATGAAGGTACTTCTGCAGAAATGTTAAGTGTTTTAGTTAACAAGTGTTGTGTTTGAGCTAACAGCCATAAATGGAGGCTTTTCAGGAGATTCATGGATGTTTGACACTAATGCAGGTTTTGACAGCCTGTTTTACTATATGTGTGTGTGTGTGTACAGTGTACATACATGAGAAAATCAAATACTATTATGCTACTGTATATACATATAAATAGCACCTAATAGTTTATACTATATAAAATTTACACTGGTTCAAATTTTTTTTGAGTAGTAGTTTTGTAAAGAAATCTGTTATGCACACCAGGGCTGCATTTATTTGATCGAAAATATAGTAAAAAACAGTACTATTGTGATACTTTTTTTATTTTAATATGTTTTAAATTGTAATTTATTTCTCTGAATTTTCAGCATCCAGTTTTCAGTGTCCCATGATCCTTCAGAAATCATTCAAATGCTGATTTGGTGCTCAAGAACCATTTATTATTGTTATCAATGATGAAAACAGATGTGTTGCTTATTATTTTTTGGAAGCCTGGATACATGCTGCTTTGATGAATAGACAGTTTTTTTTATTTGAAATAGAAACCTTTTGTAACATTATATATGCTGTTTCTGTCACTTTTGATCAATTAAATGCATCCTGAATATTAATTTCTGTAAAAAAAAAAAAAAAAATGTATGAATAATCCTACTGACCACAAACTTTTGACCAGTAGTGATTCAAGCACAACAACTAAAACTTCCAAGATATTACAAGTATGTAATTCAACATTCATGTCAATTAATTTCTTATCTGGTCAATATTGTTGTTTAGTTTAGAAGCTTCCAGTGCAAATGTATGTTTTGCATATGACAGCAAGAGATCAAAAAGCGTTTTGTATTCCTAGATGCAGATGTGATACTGAGCAAATGCAACCCTGTTGACTTTCTAATCAGCAACCCTCCCTACTTGCTCAGTCAGGACATGGAGACTTTACAAACCGAGATACTCAGGTTAGGCCAACATGCGGACACTCTCAAATTGTGCTTTAACCTTTGATGTGTGAGTTTGAGAACTTCTCATGTAACCTTTTAACCGGCCCCACCTCTACCCTTGAAGGTTTGAAGACCACAGCGCATTGGACGGGGGTTTGGACGGGCTGTCTGTGATTCGCCCAATTCTGGCTCTGAGCTCGAAGCTCTTAACTCGGCGAGGGTAAGAAGTGTGTGTTTGCTTAAAGGAGACATATTATGCCCCTTTTTACAATATGTAATATAAGTCTCTGGTGTCCCCAGAATGTGTCTGTGAAGATTCAGCTCAAAATACTCCACAGATCATTTATTATATCATTTTGAAAATGCATATTTTGAGTGGAAGCAGAAACAGCTGTTTTTCGGGCCTGTCTCTTTAAATGCAAATGAGCTGCTGCTCCCCGCCCCCTTTTCCAGAATAGAGCTGCGCCGTTACAGCTGGTACCTGCTAAAAAACATCTGTTTTGGTTCTGATTATCATGTTTATCGCGCTGAAATCATATAACTTCTGATATACGGTTTTCTGAGAGCACACATCCGAAGCACGCGGACAGAATGCGGCTGTCACAGGCATGTGAGTACTAAACTAAGTTCTCATTCACACACAAGTTTGTTAAAAACACATGAGTTACAAAAAACAGTCGGTTATGTCTGTGAAGGTAAACAGCTGGGAAATAAATTGCATGTTTATTTTAGATCTGTGTGGCGGCAGCATTATACAGTAAATAGATCAATAAATCCACTGCTCTCTTGTCTCCTCTGAGGCTGGGACTATAAATAGTGTTCTGTGCTCGTCTGTGCAGCCAAAGACAGAACAGTTAGCATGCGTTGCTCAAACTTTCATGGCATTAGAACTGGTACACCGTTGTCACTTGCGAAAACACAATAATGGCGCCATAGGTGGAAACTTATAGATTAAGGGGCGGTAATATTATAATAAGATCCCTTTGCCACGTCACCAAGGGAGCGAAATCAGACGCACTCGTTTTCTCAGACGCTTGCAGAAAAAGGCTTACCAAAACAAAGTTACTTGGTTAATCTTTTTCACGTTTCCTTGCTTGGTAGATGCACCGGGGACCTGATTATAGCACTTAAAACCTGGAAAAGTCAGATTTTCATGATATGTCACCTTTAAAGCCCTCATATGTGGTCTGGCAGAGCGACTGATTCTCTTTGAATATTCTTGTGTGAGTGACCTTTTAGCCGAACGCAGTATAAATAGTATGGTATAATCGCATTAAGAAGCTTTCCCAGCATTTCTTAAATGCTTCAGGGAATCGAGTGCAGTGCAGTTCTCTGTAGTTCAGTAGATAACAGTATTCCAGGGACCAGAACATTCTCCCAGTCCTCCTCCTGCCCTCATCACTCCCAAGACACACAAATACACATACACATACATGCATACACAATAACAAATAACACAATTAGCCTTTGGGGATGAGAGTTGCAAAGCCTGTCTTGTGTAAGGTGATCATATTCCATGCCCGTAAAATGATAAATTCGATTTCACATTTCACCAAACGGATGAGTGATAAACTCGTTATGGCCTGAGAGAATTGCATGTGTCGTTTTTCTATTTGGTGCACGTTGTGAACTTCAAGTGGTCTATATAGGGTTTCAGATTTCCTTGGGTGTCTTATTTTGTGTCCACTCAAGACTTGTCTTTCGTAGAAATGACACATGTTGTCCTTTCATAGATACCGAGAACCTCTATAGAATGGGATTATTCTAGCATTAGCTTTCAGTTTTTCCATCTCAGATGTACTATTCTTCATGACTAATGGCTTACGAGATTTACTTGGTAAAACGTCCTCTCCACCCAACCTTTTCCTCTCTTACGCTTTTAAATGTCTTTGTCTGCCCAGGCGTGTTTACCTGGAGGTTGCCCCATGCCATCCTCCAATCATTCAGCAGCTGATAGAGGAGATGATGCCGGGGTTGCTTTATTTAGAAACCCGCTATGACCTCACCAACAGGTAAGGTTCTTCTGTAAACTTGGCCTGCCCTTTGTTTTGTTGGTGTTTCCTTAATTTCATTGAGGTTTTGCTACAAATGCCTGTCATATGTGTGGAAAAAATATTTAGAAGTAATACATTTTCATTCCATGAATGTTTGTTCCTAGACCGAGTCCATGTTAGAGTGTGAGTATGAGTAATGTGAAATCACTTTCTCAATAGCAAATATGTACTAACTAAGGCATTTGTCTTTCGTGGTTTTAACTAAATATTATTTTTATTCACATGAGGAGAATCCCCCCCGGAAATTTCAGGGTATATTAAAAATGTGATTTGAAATGTAATATATTTTTCAAAAATAATAGTATGTGTGAGCTTTTGTTGTGCTGGATCATCACTCCATTATTTGGTGTAATTCCATACCAATATTTCCTACTACAAACGGCCTGTAAATGAAAACTGATGCAACCTTAGTAGACAAGTCTATTACCTTGTTATCTCTGGGTGCCGAGTTAGCAGTATTACATGTGTATAGTATTCTGGTAAACACATTTTTATTCTTTTTATTTTACAGGCCACGGTTTTGCATTTTACAGAAGAAAGGAGAGGATGGCTGAGAGAAAGGACAGAGGGAAATACATTAGGAAAGACAGGCATGAAGATGATCATCTAGTATAACACCACAATAGGTAGAGCTAGAGACTTTACCATTAGCAAATGGCCATTAAAAAAATGCCTGCAGCCAAACTACATACGGCACACTGCCAGTCTCCTCACTGTCCTGCCAGTTCCCAGCATGCACTGAGTTAAAAACCTGCCAATCCTACCGAGAAGCTCTTTCCTGAAATCCGGCGACCTCGGCTTTCTATTTGTTTTGCGCTGTAACCTACTGTTATGGCTTCTATGTTTGCTTTCCTTTTTATTTATTTCCTTTCCTTTGGTGTGTGTCTGTGTGTGTGTGTGGCTGTGGTTTGTTGTGGTGAGATTGCATTGATTGTGAGTATGTGCTCAGTGTGCAAGTGTCAGGGTGCAGTAGGCTGAAGGTAATTATTGAGGCCTTTTCTAAGAACTCCCCCTCCCAGTCCTGCGCTAGTCTCTCCCTGGAAGTAATGCGCTCATTCTGCGAAACAGCTGGCCAATTGCCGCTAGCTCGCTCGCTCAGCTAGCCCACAAAGACAGAGACAACCCGACATGCTCCGCTACCACAATGTATACAAGTATACACAATCTGTCTGTGCTAGTCTGTTAATGAGTGAAACAGAATTTTACACCCACTGCCTCTTTTTTTGTTTTAGTAATGTGTATTAAAATACTGTGGAGTCTAAATAAATAAAAAATAAATGTAATTTTCTATTCTACAATAAAAAATATTTTTAATACCTTTTTGTTTTTATGTTCCTAAATAATATTTGCATCTATGGCAAGTTTAGACTGGAATCTTATTGATTAGATAATTAAATAAGAAGCAACTGTTAAAATAGATCTCAATGATTACTTTTTTTAATACTGTTCTCACATATATTATTGCACATAAAGGATATTTACATATTTATGTAAGCTTGCGCAGCACTGAGATCGAGTTTCAGAAAAAGCTCTGCCTCAGTTTCTGGGAAATGCTAATCATGGTGCGCAGCAAGAATGATTCATGATGAGGAAACAATGTTTTTATGTTCATATGTATGTGTATGTCTTTCATTTCACATTAATATTCTGTTATGCTCGTTCATCCCATAGCTTTCTTTTCAATACATTCAAATCATAGGCATTTCAAATTACCAAAGCTCTGCCCATGACAAAAACTGCCACAACATCTAAAAATATTTTAACATTCCTTACATTTATTAATTTATAAAAAAAATTAAAAAAGGGACCAAATGGAAATAATTTTTAAAAATCCAATATTGATGTTAAATGTATAAAATATCTCTTTTGAGTTAATGGATTCAATTAATTTTGATCTTTCCTGAACATAGTTGTGTTCGGCTGTAAAACAATAATGGCCATAGCTCAGGATGTATTCAGAAAGCCATCTAATAACCTTGTATAACACACATTTTGTCCTGAGATGATTAACTAAATTGCAAATCAATTTCATGCTTATTTGTTCATCTAATAATCCTGTTATTCTGAGATTACAGTTTTGAATGACCTTGTTTGATAGTCTTACTGGAAGGCCAGTACGTAGACGAGATCTGAGTCTGATTGTTTGATTCTCTGTAGCACTTCTGTATGTTTCATTCTGTGAAAAAGGTTTCATTTTCTTTTTCTAGTTACTCAGCATCTGCCCTCATCATTTTAGGCTTTTTTTCCCATGCCATGCATTTTACATAATTGCACTTCTATAAATTCGAATTATTCCCAGAAGTGACAAAAGACATGATAAAATCCTGGATAAAACATTATGAATTCAAGTACATTTGATTGTCACTTTTATTACAAAATGAAGGATTTTTCATCCATAAATACATACAAATTCCACATTGTGGGCATAGAAAAAAATATGTAAATCTGGATTTAAAAAAACATTTCACTGCATTTCACTTTCAAGGAAAGAAACAATTCCAGTCAAGGCAGTTCAGTGACTAAGCTCGCATTTATAGAGTGCTGAAAACCAAGCTACGTACTGTATGTACTTCTCGTGAGCTCAGAGTTTCTCATTTTGAACCGTTCCTAAAGGGGTCACGTGACCCGTACAAAAGTAAATTCATCTTAAACCCCAAGCCTGTGGTTTAACCTCTCACGCTTTTAACAGTATGACACGAAGGTTGAGTCACGTCTTGCTTCTTCACGAGTCAATTTCTGGACATGGCTTGACTCAGTCCCACTTTGGTATATAAAAAAAAGATCCATCTACCAAGATAGACTTGCTGACCATCAAAAACCTGCTCCAGAAACAAGAGTCACTCTTCAAGTGATTAACACTGCTTTTTTGACTCAAACTTCTGATTGGGGCTGTGCATTTAATTTGCCGCCTCCAAAACATCAGCATCCAGCTGGTGATTGGCCGTGGTGTGCGTTTCCATGGCAATGTCAGAGCTGGAAAGGGTAATCCTGAAGATACTTAAGTAATGGTCTCGGTAGAGGCAGGCTTTCTGTGCAAGTGGTATGTTTGTTGATTACCAAGCGAGTGAGATGTTGCAAAGAAGGAAAGGCTTGAGGACGATGGATCGGCCTTTTGAGTTTTAGCAACACCGCACATTCCTTGGGTGCTGGTGAAGTTACGTGATCCAATTCCTCAGTCTTTTCCTCCTCCCCTTTGTTCCTGGAGTCCACGTAGTGCTGCACAAGGCTGGGGACGTCAGGGAAGGACTGCAGGCGAGATTTGGCCGGGGAAGTGGAGTCCAGACGGAAACGTCCGAGACTATACTCAATGCGGACGTTCGTGGGACCACGACCAGTTTTAACAGACAGTGTCAACATATAGAGAGGGTGGCTGCTGTCCCGTATCAGGAAAGTACCCTCCGATGCCCCCTGTAGGACAGAGTGGGCCTCACTGGCAGAGATGGCACCCCAGTACCAACCTGGAAAAAATTTGTTCATCTAATAATCCTGTTATTCTGAGATTACAGTTTTGAATGACCTTGTTTGATAGTCTTACTGGAAGGCCAGTACGTAGACGAGATCTGAGTCTGATTGTTTGATTCTCTGTAGCACTTCTGTATGTTTCATTCTGTGAAAAAGGTTTCATTTTCTTTTTCTAGTTACTCAGCATCTGCCCTCATCATTTTAGGCTTTTTTTCCCATGCCATGCATTTTACATAATTGCACTTCTATAAATTCGAATTATTCCCAGAAGTGACAAAAGACATGATAAAATCCTGGATAAAACATTATGAATTCAAGTACATTTGATTGTCACTTTTATTACAAAATGAAGGATTGTTCATCCATAAATACATACAAACTCCACATTGTGGGCATAAAACAAAATATGTAAATCTCGATTAAAATAGTCAAAAAAACAAAAACATTTCACTGCATTTCACTTTCGAAGAAAGAAACAATTCCAGTCAAGGGAGCGCAGTGACCAAGCTCGCCTTTATAGAGTGCTGAAGACCAAGCTACATGTGTGCTTCTCGTGAGCTCAGAGTTTCAGACAAGCTGCGTGTTCTCATTTCGAACCGTTCCTAAAGGGGTCACGTGACCTGTACAAAAGTTTCATGAACATTAAATTCATCTCAGACCCCAAGCCTGTGGTTTAACCTCTCACACTTTTAACAGTATGACACAAAGGTTGAGTCACTTGCTTCTTCATGAGTCAATTTCTGGACATGGCTTGACTCAGTCCCACTTTGGTATATAAAAAAAAGATCTATCTACCAAGATAGACTTGCTGACCATCAAAAACCTGCTCCAGAAACAAGAGTCACTCTTCAAGTGATTAACACTGCTTTTTGACTCAAACTTCTGATTGGGGCTGTGCATTTAATTTGCCACCTCCAAAACATCAGCATCCAGCTGGTGATTGGCCGTGGTGTGCGTTTCCATGGCAATGTCAGAGCTGGAAAGGGTAATCCTGAAGATACTTAAGTAATGGTCTCGGTAGAGGCAGGCTTTCTGTGCAAGTGGTATGTTTGTTGATTACCAAGCGAGTGAGATGTTGCAAAGAAGGAAAGGCTTGAGGACGATGGATCGGCCTTTTGAGTTTTAGCAACACCGCACATTCCTTGGGTGCTGGTGAAGTTACGTGATCCAATTCCTCAGTCTTTTCCTCCTCCCCTTTGTTCCTGGAGTCCACGTAGTGCTGCACAAGGCTGGGGACGTCAGGGAAGGACTGCAGGCGAGATTTGGCCGGGGAAGTGGAGTCCAGACGGAAACGTCCGAGACTATACTCAATGCGGACGTTCGTGGGACCACGACCAGTTTTAACAGACAGTGTCAACATATAGAGAGGGTGGCTGCTGTCCCGTATCAGGAAAGTACCCTCCGATGCCCCCTGTAGGACAGAGTGGGCCTCACTGGCAGAGATGGCACCCCAGTACCAACCTGGAAAAAATGGAGGGATTAATAAATGAATTATTATTGGAGAATTTATATGGATACAGGGATGAAAATTGTAGTTAAAAAGCCACAAGAGGTCATTCTACAAAACATTTTTACATTTTTTAGCATGTCCCCACAACTGTGTTTCCAAATTCTCATTGCTGTATATGTATATTTAATTTTTTTTTTTAAAAAGGAAATGAAACTAAAAATGTACCTTTCTGAAAGCATAATTATATCCCTAAATGAAAAGTTATAATTTACCTTTTAATTATAGCTTAATTCAACACATTATTAAACACACTTTATTTTAAAAACATAATGGAAAAAGCCCTTGTTTTATAGAATGACCCTTAATTTATGGATTTGCGGACTTATGAATGAAGGAATGCATGAATGAATTAATCCTAACTGCAATTTTGTTATGAAAATAATAATAATAATAAGTTATTATTATTATTATAGATGTAACATTTTAAATTTGTATTCTACCTGAGGCATCCAGATAGGAGAAATTATTGGCGATAGATCTGAAATCTTTGCTAGGGTCCCATAAGGTAACGGTTGACATAATGGAAAAAGCCCTTGTTTTATAGAATGACCCTTAATTTATGGATTTGCGGATTTATGAATGAATGAATGCATGAATGAATTAATCCTAACTGCAATTTTGTTATGAAAATAATAATAATAATAAGTTATTATTATTATTATTATTATAGATGTAACATTTTAAATTTGTATTCTACCTGAGGCATCCAGATAGGAGAAATTATTGGCGATAGATCTGAAATCTTTGCTAGGGTCCCATAAGGTAACGGTTGCATGGATGCAGTGAGGAGATGAGAAAGTCACCACCGGAAACCTGACCATTTGATCAGAAGTATCTTGCAAATGAGCTGGCCTGGGAAAAAATTAAATAAAATGTAAAAAAAATTATTAATTTTAAGTATTTAAAATTGTACAATCTTAAAAAGAAAACTTATTAAAACAATGGCATATAGGACTTTTCTATTTTCATTGCACCAATCACTATAGGCCTATGTTCAAATGTGCACGGAAATACACATGTACAGAAATTGCTTATTCGGCTTTTCAATTCACCGAGGTATATTGAATAATTGTTTGTGAGAGAGACCCAAAAATAAATAGTTGTTTTTTTCACTTATATGCTATTAATGCCACATATTACTATATTTTATGTTAATACACATATTACTATAAAGAAAATCAAGATCTTTCATTAGGCTGAATTATTGCAATTATATCAGTGAAACAGATATGTTTCATTGTTCCAAAAAATACTTTTAAACATTAAGCAAACGACATATTTATATTTACTTTTTTACTGAACAAAATAAATGTATTATTATTATTATTATAAATAAATAATAATAATTTTGGAGTCGTTTGTCTTTCACGCTATGCTTAGCGTCCTCAACAAGAATGTGTGGATTAGAATTAGATGTTGTTATCTCTATATAATTTGTTGTGATCATTTCATAAAGATGGGTCGCTAAAACTCACCCTTGAACGCACAGAATCATCGTGAAGATGTCTGGTTTGATATCTGTCGGATTTCTTAAAGTTTCTCTGTTCCTAATGTTTTTACTCGGACTCCCAAAAATACTGTGGTCTTCCTTGAGCGATGACAAGCAGTTCGGAGAGATTTCTCGAGCATAGGAAGGTGGTCGAACAGCGTCAGGGGGCTATCGCCGACCGTCATGTAATAGCGCGACTCGTCTACGGGTTTGTTTAACAAACTACGCGAGTAGAAAACACGGACATGAATGTAGTCTTGTAAACGTGCGGTTTCTTTTCAGCTCGTGCCCTAAAACTGAACATGAAGCGGAACACTGCAGGGTTTGGCTTGTTCACTTCGTCCGACTTCCCAGAACTGGTTTTCTGAGAACCCCCCGCGTTTAGCGCCTCTGACGCCACCAGCAGTGCAGCTCTGTGAAACCCACAGACTCAACCCTCTCTTCTTTCTCATTCAAGCATACAGCAGTCTCGTGAGTAATGGACTAGCACTGGAATGATCCTTGAATGACTTATTTGGGAGTTTTATTATGGTTATGCTCGGTAATTGCTTCCTGATGTTTGTAATTGACGTTCGAGGATGAAAACGGCGTTTCTCGTGAAACCGCACGTCTAGAGTTCCAAGAACTTTCCAGGAAAACTGAGCGCCTGCCCTGAGTTAAGCCAATCACGTCCTCCCCTTCGCTAAGGCCCCGCCTCTCGCGAGCTGTCATCGAATTAACTATTTGTTTACTGCTGAAATGAGTTTGTGAACAAGACCATTTATTTGAAATGTAAACATTTGATTAAGCCCTTAAATTAAAACGTTGTGATATTTTGTGCAGATTAAATGCATTTTGATGCTTGCTATATTCTAGTAGCCGTGCCTATAGACTTATTTAGTGTTTCTGACGGAGAAATCATTCTAAACGTTTTTTTACTGCCATCTTGAGGCTATCAGGTGTACCTCCCATTTAAATTGCGGTACAGTTTGTGAATAGATCTTGATTGACCAAATACTAATTACCACCAAACACTCAGTAAAAGTTGTTTTTATTTATGCAAAGTTATAAACAATACAAGAGAAAGCTGTACATTTTCATTTACTGATAATTACTATTTATTTTTATTACTTATGATAATTTTGTGTATGACCTTTAATCGAATCAATGACCAACAAACAAAACAAAACAAAAAAGAAAGAAAGAAAAGAAAAAATGAATAAATATAAATGATCTATGTTAATGTAGTCTAGTGTAACCATAAATAAAATACAAAATAATATCAAGGAAAACCTTTTTTTTTTTTTTTTTGGATACGACTTTTCGTTATTTCTGCTGAACATGATGATTTTAAACATTTCTATTTTAGTTGCCAAATTAATCACTCAATTATACACTCATATATTCTCAATGCTGGAAAAAATTTGATATTTGTCATACAAAAATGTTTTATTTGGAATTGTTTTGATTACTAACAGAAACTTATACACAAAAGTATGCACTTGACGGTAAATATTGTGGGACCATGGTGTCAGTCAATGAATGACGTTATTGTAACCAAAAATAAAATACAAAAAAAAATCAAGGAAAAACTTTTTTTTTTTTTTTTTGGATACGACTTTGCGTTATTTCTGCTGAACATGATGATTTTAAACATTTCTATTTTAGTTGCCAAATTAATCACTCAATTATACACTCATATATTCTCAATGCTGGAAAAAATTTGATATTTGTCATACAAAAATGTTTTATTTGGAATTGTTTTGATTACTAACAGAAACTTATACACAAAAGTATGCACTTGACGGTAAATATTGTGGGACCATGGTGTCAGTCAATGAATGACGTTATGAGACATGTTTATATATATCAAAAAACTGTAACTATAAAACACATAAAAGAAGTTATCGTTTTAAAATATTAAATATTAATCCTAAAATTAATCCAAATCACATGTCTAAATCTTTTACCATAGCCAATTCTTGCTACATATATGTTACTGTCTGCGTGTCACATTTGACTCTAGTGTGTACGTGTATGTATTTTTTTAATGAAATGGCAGTAGGTTCTGTAGGACTTGTGACTGCTTAAGTTATTAAAAAAGGCTTCTTGGACAAAACGTCTTTTCTACTTTTAAGAAACACATTTAAATATGACTGATCTATCATATCCATCTTTCACAATTTTAAATATGCTTAAAATGCTAATGAGTTTTGAGTGTGTATGCAAGTATGAGATCATGTAACAAAAATATGCTCAGAAAATGTACAGATAAAATTAATTCCTGAGTTTTTCTCTTAAATGTATGCACATCAAAACACCTAATCTAATAACATTTAGTAAAAAGAAATACAAGCCAAAGAAAGCAAAAACAAAAAATGTTTTTGCATTAACAACAACTGAGCACAGTATTCCAATTATTCCTTCACCCTCTCTGCAGGATGAAAAATTACCCTGCAAACAGGCATAAAAAGGGAGCTGTTGAACATTTAGGGTACAACTGAAGTTCATTTCTTTCTTCCTTTCACTTTCTGTCCTTCCTAGCTGTTGCCACCGTTCTCTCCACCTCCCTTGATTAGACGTTTGTTTCCCCTCTTCCCTGCAGGGCCACGAGGTTTGGCGAATGCTTGCTTGTGGGCATGCTGCTTAGGATGGACCTCATCATACAGATACTCCCCTGTCAGCTCCTCTCCACTATCTATCTCCAACTAACATGGACACATTTACAAACACAAAGATTTAGAAACATTTTGGTCAGATATTGAGATATTGAGTGAAAAATACATATAAATACAATGAATTCAATAAAAATCCTCTGCAGTGAATGGGTACCGTCAGAATGATAGCTGAAACAGCTGATAAAAACATCACAATAATCCACAAGACTCCAGTCCATCAATTAATATCTTGTGAAGTAAAAAGCTGCATGCTTATAATAAACACATCCATCATTAAGACTTTGTCTTCAAACCGCTGCTTCTGGAGAAAATATGAGTCCTTTATTCATTATTTGCTTTTTACAGTGTCACTCTCTCTGGATCAGGAGCGAAATATGCACAGATCAAATACCATTTACTATTTGCGAAAACAGTCCAAAACAGTTCTAAATGGATATGTAGGTAGATTTTGATGTGAGGAATAAAAAAGGGGATGGACTTTTTTTTAGAAAAGAATTATAGACTCATATTTTGGCCAGAAGCAAAGGTTTGAAGTTCAAAACATCTTGATGAATTTTCACTTCACAAGACATTAACTGATAGCCTGGAGTCATGTGGATTACTTATGGGTTATTGTGATGTTTTTATCATCTGTTTAAACTCTCATCCTGACGGCACCCATTCACTGCGAAGGATCCATTGGTGAGAAAGTAATATAATGCTCAATGCTCTGTTCAGATGAAGAAACAAACTCATCTAGATCTTGATTGTCTTGGTTAGAGTAAATTGGGATGAGTTTAATTTCATGCTAACTTTAAATGAAGTTCTGGGCTTGTAACGCTCATGCTGGAAGAAAAACGAGTGACAGAGTTTGTTTTTACCTTTTTAGCCACTTCTAGGTGGAAGTCCCTCTCTACTTCTTCCAGAAGTCGACTCTTACAGCTGGAATACAGCATTCTTTCCTTGATGCTACAGCTGTATCCTGGCATGGAGTATATGAACACTATGGAGAGTGATAGAGGAGGATATGAATAGTTTGCTTAACTTTATTACATAACTGTAATAGATGAGATAAGGAATGGAGTGACTAACCCACAGACTCGAGGTAGTCTCCCTCATGTGAATGTTTGTAGAGGAAGAAGTGGTATCTGGGTGTATCAAGGGGGATCCGGCAGGGTAGATCATGGATTTCTGTCAGGCTGGTGTGCACGAGTTCAATTGTCTCATTCTCTGTATCTAGCTTCTATAAAAAGAAAACCAGATTAAATCAGTTTGATAAGGTAGTATCTAATAAGAACATACTGGAAGTATAAATGTGTGTATCTGTGTCTTACTAGTTGAATGTAGTTAATGCGTCTCTCTGCAAGCTGCTGTAGAGCATGTTTGGCCTCAGCCTGTAATGGAAAGGCAAGACCCTGTAGAGTCTGATGTTTGGGGTCCACAGTGATCTCAGTTTTCACCTACAAGCAAAGACACAACCAGTTCATTACCAATGTTGTATTCCACCACTGTAAATTATGACCGAAACAGTTCTTGTCATTCTATTAAAAACATTTTCCCAAACAATTCCAATGAGCTACCCTGGTCATGGAAGACTTATTATATGCCACTTCTGTTGTTTGGAGAAATTTGTTTATGCAGGTAAGAGATGGTGGATAAGAGTGGAAATAAAAGTAAAATGTTAACATGCTGGATGAGTGTAGATGACCATGCCCATATGGGTGGATCCATATTTCACTCCAAAACCATTGAAATAAATAATATATATATATTTGTTTCATTATACATATATATATTGTTTAAAAGAAAAGACTTATTTTTAGGGGTCTTATAAGACTTTATTTATACAATTTGTAAAATTATTTATACATTTATTAATAAAAATTGTATTTTTGGATTATTTTCATGACATTTTCAATTATCTTTAATATATCCTGATTAAAAAAATATGTTTTAGTGTAAACTATTGGAAATCATAACTGAGAGTTACAAAAGAAAAAATGACTAAAGTAAAATATTCACATGTCTTACAATAACAAAATGTTTGAGGATAAAGTGTGTTTAATTGTCATGAAATTAACGTAATGGAAAAAAAAAACTTAAAAGTTCTTTATTCTTCTTAATTCTTTAGGCAGAATATATATATACTGTATATAGAAAGAGTTCAGATGCAAAAGCCTCTAAGTGCCATCTGAAATTTTCATCTACAATGAGCATTTTTATCAGGCTCCTATATGTATGTTCATTTATTTCACTTTAATGGCATAGAAAAGGACATATAAATTGCCATTAAAGTAAAATTACTGAACCTAAACATAGGAGCCTGGTAAAAATGCTAATTTTAGAAGATAATTTCAGATGGCACTTAGAGGCTTTTGCATCTGAACTCTTCATATATATTTCACACACACATATATATATATATATATATACAGTGTTCAGTTTTTCTTTTTTAATAAATCTGCAAAAATGTCAACAATTCTGTGTTTTTCTGTCAATATGGGGTGCTGTGTGTACATTAATGAGGAAAAAAAATTAACTTAAATGATTTTAGCAAATGGCTGCAATATAACAAAGAGTGAAAAATTTAAGGGGGTCTGAATACTTTCCGTACCCACTGTATATTCTTACTACTTGTCTTGTACAATCAACTACAATTGTATTGTCTCCAATCAGCACACAACCAGCACACATAAACACAGCATTGTGTTTTTCACTTAATCTAATGACAATACTAACCTGTTTAACTCTGCCCTGCAACCACAGAGATTGAACACAGAATATATTAAAACAAAGAGCTAAAGTAATTCATGGATGTATATTATAATTATGATTTTAGATGCATGTCTACAGTCTTTTCTCACCTCTGTGATTTTGATTCGCTGTAGCTCCTGTTCAGCTGCTGTCAGGGGTGCTGGTGCAGAACATGAAGTCACGTGTCGCAGGTACCCCTGAAGACAAACGTCCTCCTGGTGATGGTGAAAAAAGACAAAAAACTTTATTTAATGTGCACTTTGATGTTAATTTAGCAATTATTTCAAGTAATCAGAAATAAAACATTTTTTTTATTTAATTATATTAGTTAATTAATTTATTTTTTAAATTAATTTATTAATTTAATTTATTAATTAGATTTTTATTTAGCTGATATTTGTTTTCACCAATGTGATTCATTAATAATCAATCAAAAATATTTTTACCAGCCAAACATTTACATTTAAATTAATTAATGAATTATAGATTTATTCCCACTTCCCAGACAACCTTATATAGGTCTTTCAATATGTCAAAATATATATATAGACTCTCAACTAAATATACAACTTCCTCCCATAAAACTACAAATTTGTCTGTTCAATATGGTATGTGTATGTACAGTATATATTTAGTCCTGTCTGTGATGACCATGACTGGTAATCATTTCCAAGAACATTGCCAACAGCCCCAAGTGTCTAGTTTCTAAATTAAGGAACATGGTGGTCCACTCTGTAAACTTTTTCATCTGTAAATAATCCAGCTTCAGGGTATTTGACTGACAGCTGAAGACAGATGACAGGTGGACTGAGTCCATTCATCAGCACGTCCCTCATTATAACTTCATTAGTCCTTCAAAGAGGCAAAATTGTAAATATTTAAATCAAATATTTAAAATGATAGATAAAGATGCCTTTGTAAATCTAAAGAGTAAAGAGAAAACTAACCAATTTTGCTACTAGAAAATATTCTTCAGTCTTGACATTCTTGTGTAAGCTAGTACCTCAGCTGTGCCGAACATGTCATCTTTGACGTGTCCACCACCAAACTCTTTCTTAACTGTGGACCGAGTGGCAGCGTACAGCATCTTTTGCCGGACCTGTAGCGAAAGGCAAGATATCACTTAAAAAATTAAATAAATAAACAGTAACAAAATAAACACTCACAGCTCTAACCACAATGGTGTGTTAAGGTTTACCACAATTATCACAAGTAGTTACATTTTTTACATTTTCTGGAAAAAGAAAATATCTGGTTGCCAGGGCATTGCACTGCAGTTTCTAAGATACAGATGCAGTTGCTAGTGTGCTCTGATTGGTTGCTAGGAGGTTGCTTAAAGTCCAAAGAACCCTGTTTCGATGAGCATGCAAATAAGATTCTATTTAAATATTATAAAGGTTCTTGAGTGTTTTTTTTTCTTTGGTTCACCAAAAAAAACATTTTTAAAACTGTAGATCTGTTTTTATTTGATCTGGAACCTTACGAGTGCATGTTTATATGACCAATTGAATAAGCTATTCCAGCTAATCAGGTCAAGTCACACATCTTCATGTCTGGATGTTAAAACGTACAGGAGACTGGTCAGGTGACCAGGAGATGAAGAGCCACTCATAGCCTTGAGCGTTCTTGGTGTCCAGCCGGTATAGAATGTAGCAGGGCTCGTGGGGGTCTAGCAGGGGGAGCAGGAAGTGGTCATAGTCTTTGTCCCAGCTCTGACGTGGCTCTCTGTATGCCCCCAGCACCAGCTGCTCTGAAACACACATAAAAAAGCTCTCTCATTACAAACCTGGTGCAACCAACATCGCACACAACAATCCCAAAAATCTGTTGCGTAATTTTATATTGCATCACGCAGATCAATTTAAATGTGTTTACAAGGCTAGGCTTGGGTAATGGCCTACTGCTGATAACAAATAAGTGAAATATTGTCCATTATTTACATCCTGCTATAAAAAGAGCATGACACACCTTGTATCTTACACCCAATATAGCACACGCTGCTTAGTTCACCTAGAGACACGTACACAATAATACACATAAATTCACCTTCAGTTATTTATATATTAAACAAGCCAGTACTGAGGGATGTCTGATATAACACAATATATTCTCAGCATCTTTAATGAACTGAAACATACTTAGTGTATCTTACATATGCAAACATACACTTTGCTTTTAATAAAATTGATCAATGGAAAATTGGTCACTTTGATGCAACTAATATTATTTAAGATAATATAATATAATACCTTATAGAACAGTTTTAGATTATGCAGCATTTTAGATTATGCAACCATAAATTATTCACAATGTAGTATACAAAACTATGACCAACAACTTGCCACATCTCTGAAAGTCCACCATTATTAAAAGCCAAAATGCACAAGCGATTGTTCGAAAATGCGACATGGACATGGTGATGGGAAAAAATATTGAGATGGGAGGAAAAATTATATTTCAGCACTTTTCTGTTCTCTTGCAAAACTTTTGAGTTCCACCGAGAACCTCTGCATTGACTCAGAGTCAAATCTTTTGTGATAGAAATAAGAAGGGTGGAAAAAATTGCATACCTATTGCATACATAGTATGATAGTATTTTGAACACAATTTTCAATGTGAATATATCATAAAAGTATTAAAGACATAAAGTTACAAAAGCATTAGAATTCCATTAAGAACAATATCAGAAGTGAGTTTTAAGGGCCTTTTACTATAAAAAACGTAAATTGCCATCATAAAGTGCTCATCACAACAGTTCTAAGAAGCAATTCATGCTCATATGAAAAGCAGTTCATATTTATTCATTTCTATAAATATAGGTTTTTATATAAATTCTCTGTAGTTACTTTACTGTATAATGCAGACCACTGTAACTCTTGTAAGACAGGTTTTCAAACAATAATCCATTAAGAATCCATTGGTAACCATTCTAATATAACGAATGATTAGATCTTTCTATCATTTTAAATTTTCTCTCGACTGTATTCTCTCATCAGATAGTTAAATAATACAAGAACGCATGAAAACAGCACAGCATATTTCACTGATGTAAGAACATTTAACGTTACAGATGTCACACCTGATCCTACTGGTTCTTTATGTCCTTGGTCTACTGTCTCAGTTTACAAACTTCTCACTGATCACATCACTCTAAAATGCATGTCATTTGCTTCCTGAAACATACGAACCAGAACACCCTCTGTAACCACTGGACTTTATCATGTGCTGGTGCACGTCCTCCAGAGCCCCGTGTTGTGTCGAATTCTGCCGCCCTGCTTTCAGGCATCGACACTCAGATTAACAGCTATGCTTCTCAGTACGCATCTCTTGTCACATCAATAATCTATTTACCAGTGCATCTGCCCACTTCCCTCCCAGTGCTGTCCTCAGTTTTTCTTTGTACACAAAGACTTAAAAGTGCTAATCTAATGGTTACTGCTGATTTTAATTAAAAGCACTGAGAATATTCACATTGTGAATGTAAGAATATTTTTTATTTTGAATTTTTTAAAAAGTTAAAAGTTTTTTTTTTTTTATTCTGTTGGGCATAAAAATTGGGTTATTTGAGTAAATGTTATGTAAACAGTTCATACCAAACATAAAAAGACAAAAATATGAAATTACATTTTGCATAAAGAAAATTAAGTATATTTTAGGGCCATTTATTATAGATTTTTCATGAAAATTACTTCACTACATCTATTAATATAAATTTTCCCCATTCTTATATAATAATATTTCCCAGTATTCTCAATGGTGCAAATTATTTCTTAAAAATCTAAATGGCCCTACAACATGCTCTATTAATTCATTCATTTAAACAATCAATGTCTTTTACTCTGATTTTCAATATGGACAAAGTTGTTGGCTGCACTGCTGTATAAAAATGAATGAAACAACAGTCCTTCTATAACTGGATGAACAAGTGCAATCACTGTCAAGGCCTGTGGATTAAGGCATCTAAAGGTTGGGCAGAGTGATTGAAAGATTTTGCACCTAACTGAAATAAACCTTTAATGAGCACACCGTGAAAAACAGCTAGCATGTCAATAACCAAATCTAGTGCAAACGTCTACCCACATACACGTTACCAGTCCGAATGACCTTGGAGGGGGATTTCCTGATGGTCTTTTGCAGCAGCTGCTATTCGGAGGTTGCACACATTCCAGCTATCAGCACAGACACATACTTTCCATCAGCCTTTTACTCACCCCTTAACAACACACATACAGAAAGCTGTTTGCACATATGTGCCAATTTGAAGAAAAAAAAACATATATCTGCCATCCTTCTGTCTCCGTGAGTTCTGTAATATACAAATACATTAATTGTAAAGAATATCACACATCTGGCTGAATAACTGAGTGTCTGCACCATATGTCGCTAAAATGCATGTCATTTGCTTCCTGAAACATACGAACCAGAACACCCTCTGTAACCACTGGAATGAAGCACTGGAAGGCTTCATCTTTTCGAATGGGTCATCTTTCTTCCCACCACTTTATCATGTGCTGGTGCACGTCCTCCAGAGCCCCGTGTTGTGTCGAATTCTGCCGCCCTGCTTTCAGGCATCGACACTCAGATTAACAGCTATGCTTCTCAGTACGCATCTCTTGTCACATCAATAATCTATTTACCAGTGCATCTGCCCACTTCCCTCCCAGTGCTGTCCTCAGTTTTTCTTTGTACACAAAGACTTAAAAGTGCTAATCTAATGGTTACTGCTGATTTTAATTAAAAGCACTGAGAATATTCACATTGTGAATGTAAGAATATTTTTTATTTTGAATTTTTTAAAAAGTTAAAAGTTTTTTTTTTTTTATTCTGTTGGACATAAAAATTGGGTTATTTGAGTAAATGTTATGTAAACAGTTCATACCAAACATAAAAAGACAAAAATATGAAATTACATTTTGCATAAAGAAAATTAAGTATATTTTAGGGCCATTTATTATAGATTTTTCATGAAAATTACTTCACTACATCTATTAATATAAATTTTCCCCATTCTTATATAATAATATTTCCCAGTATTCTCAATGGTGCAAATTATTTCTTAAAAATCTAAATGGCCCTACAACATGCTCTATTAATTCATTCATTTAAACAATCAATGTCTTTTACTCTATGTCTTCGAAAAGGGATTCAAAGTGATTTTCAATATGGACAAAGTTGTTGGCTGCACTGCTGTATAAAAATGAATGAAACAACAGTCCTTCTATAACTGGATGAACAAGTGCAATCACTGTCAAGGCCTGTGGATTAAGGCATCTAAAGGTTGGGCAGAGTGATTGAAAGATTTTGCACCTAACTGAAATAAACCTTTAATGAGCACACCGTGAAAAACAGCTAGCATGTCAATAACCAAATCTAGTGCAAACGTCTACCCACATACACGTTACCAGTCCGAATGACCTTGGAGGGGGATTTCCTGATGGTCTTTTGCAGCAGCTGCTATTCGGAGGTTGCACACATTCCAGCTTTCAGCACAGACACATACTTTCCATCAGCCTTTTACTCACCCCTTAACAACACACATACAGAAAGCTGTTTGCACATATGTGCCAATTTGAAGAAAAAAAAACATATATCTGCCATCCTTCTGTCTCCGTGAGTTCTGTAATATACAAATACATTAATTGTAAAGAATATCACACATCTGGCTGAATAACTGAGTGTCTGCACCATATGTCGGCACACTATAAGACTATAGCTCAGACGTTTTCCTATCACCATGAGCACAGACTAGCTCCTGACCATGTGGTCTGTGCTACCCACCAATAAGGGTTGGGATACACATGTGACTCTGTCACCAGAAAGATCCAAAACTGTCTTGACCTGTTTTATATTTCCTGAAATATAATCTCTGTGAGACTCAAAGGCACCCTATGAACCCAAAACAACCCAGTCTATTCAGATCCAGACGTCTTCATACACTTTAGGCGTCAAGCATAGAGGAGAAGAGCCATATACTGTACCAGCCTGAAGACTATCCATCTGTGACTGCATTAGGTCACCACTGGATTTCAGAACATCTGGAGCTGTCCAAAATGGCTGAACAGTCTACCTGACAAGAAATCGTATCATGTAGCTCTGGACAAAATTGCCCAGCATAATTGCATTTCATGCGATATGTAACATAAGTTTATTTATTCACTAATAGTTTGAAGCTAAAGCAAACTAGAAGGTACAATTGATTTTTTATATTTTTGAAAGAAAAAGCTACCAAGTCTACATTTATTTGATCAAAAATACAGTAAAGATAGTTATATTGTGAAATATTATAAACATTTTAAGTAACTTTTCTATTTGAGTATATTTTTTAAATGCAATTTATTCCTGTGATGGCAAAGATGAATTTTCAGCAGCCATTACTCCTGTCTTCGGTGTCACATGATCCTTCAGAAAACATTCTAATACTCTGATTTGGTTCTAAAGAAACCTTTATTATTATTATTATTATTATTATTGAAAACAGTTGTGCTGCTTAATATTTTTTGCGGAAAATCTTTTTCTCCAGGAATCTTTGATGAATAAATAACAGGATTTATTTTAAATTGAAACCTTTTCTAACATTATAAATGTCTTATCTGACATTTTTGATCAATTTTATGCATCCTTGCTGGGAAAAAAGTATTAATTTCTTTCATTAGGTGATACTGATATAGTCGTAATACTATTGGAAAGTTTTATCCCGTGAAATCCCATTTATCCTATTTTCTAGCCTTGATTCGGATTAGGATGGTTAAAATTAAAAAAAGCAGGTAGGAACAGATGTTTCATTTCAGTCCTGAAATGAACTTGGTTAATGCACTAGCATTTTTCATTCACAAGATACTAATCTTGATGTCTTATCTTTTCTGATTCATTACATTTTCTGTGAACTGAGTGAACCCCTCAGACCCCCTGCTGCTCACTCACCGTCTCTGATCAACACCTGGATGAGGCGGCCGGTTCCACTTCGTGCCCGGGCCAGAAACTCCCTCAGCTCCTCTGTAACCACCAGAGCCAGAAACATGGCGGGTCAGTGTAGTGCCTTCCTACCCGCCAAGGGACCTTCTGAAATTGGATGAAGTTGGACGCACAGGTCAGATCACCTGGACAATCTTCTTTTTACAAATTATCTTCAATCAACGGTCAGTGACAGAGCTGTGTGATGTATCAGAAATGATATAAAGGCAGCAGTATGAAGTGAGAGTTTGGTGTTTGAGAGGCTGTGTGCTATCCAAGCGAGAGGGCATGTGAGAGCAGCAAATGTGTGAGAGAAGGCTCCTGTAACTAGAACAGGATCATGTGTGCTTGCAGAAGGAACCCGATCCCTCTCGCCCCAAATTTAGCAGGCACACTGTCTGTCCTTGGGTAACAGCCTGACCATCCCCCAACACTGCCCCGGGGCCAGTTGTTTAAATCTTTTGATATGGATTTGTAAGTATTGTATTTGGGATTCAAGTCATGCCCCTAAACCACAAGTAGACTCAAAATTCATACCACCCTCTTTTGGGTAAGTGAGGAACTGCATTACTGAATGAGGTGCTACGCTATGCTGTTATTAGTCAGCAACTTCCCAGCATAACAATTTCACTCACTCATTCATGGAGATGTTTGTTGTTTCTAATATTTTTATAAATAGTTTTCCAGGTTCAGTACAAGTTAAGCTCAAACTTCTCAACGAGGCAAACTTATTTTCTGTGGTAGGTCTAATCAACAGCCTGATTCTGTTATTATATATCAAATAAAAAAAAAAAATGTTTTGTATGTTCCTTATACTATTATTACAGTTACTCATTATGTTTAGTTTGATTATGATGAAATAATGACTTTACAAAAACACATTCCAAAAACGAATGCTTAAATGTAAATTAAACTTGAAAATGATTAGATATTAAAACCTCTGATTTAGTAAACCATTTTACTAAACCATTTTCTAATTGTATTTATCATTTTCGTTTCGATTGTAGCCTACTGTATACAGCAATCAGGCCTACAACTTTTCAAATGTTATTTTATTTTATGTTTGTGCTTTTGGAAATTACTATCCTTAATTAGACGTATTAAGCATTTTAAAAGCCACATTTTAAGCACAAAGTATATGTTTTCTGTAAATGTTGCAAGTGAAATTGATTTATATACAGTATATATATATATATATATATATATCTTAAATGATTTTAGCAAATGGCTGCAATATAACAAAGAGTGAAAAATTTAAGGGGGTCTGAATACTTTCCGTACCCACTGTATCTATATCGGAGCATACCTTCACTCACTTGCAGGGGCGGATTAAGGTGGTCAGGGGCCCGTAGGCTGATCTTTGTGTGAGCCCCCCCCTTAATCATTATGCTTTACTGGATAAATGTATTTAGTGCCATACATGGTCCACACGTAAATACAGTAGTATGGTGAACTGGTATACACACACACACACACATTGAGAGAGCCAATCCTACAGTGTTTACTCTACATTTCCAGTGTCCCCACAGGATTTTGTGAGACTATGGTGAGTGCACATTGGTTCTAGTCTAGGGGGTTCCAGGGGTATGCCCCCATAAGAACATTTTGTTCATTTTAATTTTAAATAAATCTGGTGCATTTTGAGAGCAGAGTCAAGTGACTAGATCAATGAAGAAATATGTGCTCTTGTAAACAATTTAATTTATTTATTGGTTGCATAGATGTGAATGTGATGGTAGGGCACAACTGTCACTATATAAATTCTTATAAAAGCTACAAATGCTATTCTGTCAAGAGAAGGGAGTGATTTTCTCCTCGTCTTTTCTTATTTAATTATCATTAACGCCAACACTTAACTCAAGAGATGAGACGAGACACGAGATTGGGCTCATGAGAAGACGAGGTCGAGATTTTTACACATTTAAAAAAAAATTCTCAATGACCAAATACATGACTGTATAGTCTGCAGGTGCATTTTGAATTGCTTTGACTAATCTTTTTGTAATAAATGTAATTTCAGTTCTACTTTCTGAGTATGAATTATCATATGCAGTAAAAGACAACAACACTCAAGCACTGTATGAGGTTTTGCCACAAACTAACTGGCTTCTCTCTATAATTCCATGCGATTCTCTTCAGACCTTAGAACCGTACATGAATTAAGAGCTTCTAGAACCTTTGACCTCCTAACTTAAGTCCTTTTCACAAATTGAACATAGAAATAAAAACAGTATAAATAACATATAATAAACAACAGTTATTTCTTAATGTATTAAGTGCAAACAGTAAGTACAGCCATAATCAAAGTAGGCTACTCTCTCAATATTTCAAGTGCAAATAGAGACCAAATTTTTCAAACATCATACAGAGCTATAGACAACTACACAATCTATTATAGCCTACATACTAATAACAGCCTAAATATGTAGACTACTTTGCGCACATCAGGGAGTCGCTCTCAAAACGCGGGTATTAAAATCGTTTTTGAATGCACGTCAAGTCAAGATTATTTATATATGGCTACCGCTTTTTACAATGCAAATTGTGTCAAAGCAGCTTTACAGTATTAAACGGGGAAATAGTGTGTCGAACGAGTGTCGTTCTCCTCTGGCCAAACGCAACCAGCAGTTTAATTCTAGGCTGCAGCAAAGTCAGATTGTGCAGAGGACTCATCTTCCCGTGGTCCTGTCCCGCTGGCCGTCAAGGCGCAAGTGCACGTTTTACTTTCGTTCTTTCACGTAAACTCTCGGCGGTGCTGAGCATGCATTCTACAATACAAGACATTAATTTTGTCAGATGCTCTGCAACAAATCCTCCTTTAATGTTTCTTATGGGCCAGTGAGGGTCTTTTTTTTTGGTTCGCACTGAAGTAAATTTAAAATAATAAAAAAATAGTCTGGCCAATCCGAGGCCCCTGCACACGTGGACACAAGCTTGTGCGTTTTAATTCGTGCTTGCTCACTTGGTAGCTTTAAGATGTGGAAATTTTTGCAGAATAGTCTCGCACCCTGCTCAGGTCCTGCTATTAAGCACATACAAACAGAAAAACAATGTCTCATCACTGAAGTAACGGCGTAATCAGTGTAGCTCGCAGCCCTCTCTGTTGGTGAAAATAATCACTGGTGATCGGACTTTCTTGCAATGTATTTGAGAGCTGTTTAGAACGTGTTGTAAAACGGGGGCATTTCCGTGGACAGCCAACGTTACAGTGGGGGTCAAGAAGACCCCAAATAACGGGACTGTCTCCGAAAATGGTCACACTTACGCAGGTTAAACTAAAATGGATAGTAAGCTCATATTTGATGGGAAAAGTAACTAACCGGTATTTTGGGTGTCTTGTTCAACAATTTTTTCATATAAAAGCAACAGAATTTAGATCACATCCGATTTATTAGCCACAAAGCACCGTACCCTTCGACCGCAGCCGCCTGCTCTCGTCTTGCAAAGCTAAATTCATAGTATGCTTCCTAAATACACAATTAAAGTGAAAACAGCTACAATGGCACAATCATCGAATTAACATTCTCCCCTTTCCCCCTCAAAACTAGCATAAACACAACTAGCATTTCCTCAATAAGTGCAAAGTAACTTGAACAAAATAAAGTGAAACTTGAGAGAGGGGTGGTCAGTGTATATTGTTATGCGATTTGTTCTTATATGCGATTCAAAAGAATGCCAGTATTGCAAAAGCAAAATACATAAAAACAAGAAAACAAAACCCAGTAAAAGAATGCCATAAAAGCAATTTGCACTCGCAGATGGAATTATGTTGAGCTACACATCAGCTGAGCATGTCTGAAAGGCTTCAAAACCATGTCTTTGGACAGTTGCATATTTAATTTAAAAATTGTTCCATTGACATTTCTACATTCACAAGATGCTAAATCTATAGGTGCTGAGTTCTGCTGTAGTTTGATCAGCTGAGAGCAGATCTGCAGAAACATTTTACTTCTCCCACACAAGTCAATTTGATCAAACACTTTGTTACAACCTCATAAACAAAACAGAAAATGTGAACAGGTTACTTTACAATGTTTTACAAAAAAGTTTTAATGATACAGATATAAAATGAACAAAGAAATACAACTTGGCATCAAGGCCAATCTATTTACAGTTCAAAAGTCCTACTGTGAGCAACTCCGTGTTTGAAACTCCAAGAGAGAGGTGAATGATGCCACCTGCTGGAAGAACACATCACAGAGGCTGACCTCAGACAGCGGCCCATCAGTCATCAATCGTGGGTAACCAGAATGCCTGTGGAGGTGAGATTTTAGCATACGTTATAAGTGGTTGTCAACTGGTGCACAGTGACTACAGCCATAATCAGACCTGCAGGGGAGTATGGCACTGTTTTTGAATATTCCAAGCCCCTATTCCTCCTTTTATGATAAAAAAATATTTCCACCAAAAATGAGACTTTTAGCCATCCGAGATTTAGATGAGTTTGTTTCTTCTTCTGAACAAATCTTCTGATTTGGAAAAATTTAGCATTACATAATTTGCTCACCATTGGATCCTCTGCAGCAGGCATGTGATTAGCTAGAGACAAAAAAAGTGGGAAAATCTGACCACGCTCCCACACCTACTATGATTTTTTTTTGGATCACATTAAAAGATATGTCTTACATTGTAATAATACATCCTGTCCTGTAAAAATGAAAAGCAGCATTTAATAATCATATTATTTGTAATATATAATAGAATAGAATACAATATACATGAGCTATATCACCGCTTATCGACACAAGGGGTGTGACAGTGCTCAAGAGATGAGACAAAATGCAGATACTTGGTTCACTAGAACGTGACAACATTTTAATACTATTTTTATGAAATTTTCAATGACAAAATATTTGTCTTTTAATTAAAAAAAGTAAAACAGTGCAGTTGTATTTAGAAATATTTTAACTAATAGGGCTGTAACTAATGATTATTTTGGTAATCAAGTAATCTACTGATTATTTTGACAACGGAGTAATCTGATATTTTTTAGTAACAAACAGACCTAATTGAAAACCAGGCCTTAGTATGACTATTTATATATAAACTAACGATGAAGCAATAATAATTGGCTCAAATAAAATATCAAAACCAAGAAATTACATGATTGTATTGAACAACACTGTTAAAATACATAATGTATTATGCCTATACATAATATGAACATAACCAACTTAAGTACATTATGTATTAAAACAAATACCTGCAGAGTGTGCCAACGGCCAGGTGACATTTACAGCATTATTAAACGATGTTTAAATCCATTTAATTTTAATATTTGGCCACATGCAGAAACTTTTATTTTGAAATCGCGATGTACAATACATGGCATATTTAGACATAGGTTGATGTATTCTCCTGTGTTGGCAAAGGTTTATAAATGATTTACATTACAAATCTAGTGAGATAATGCACACTGTTTTCTCAGATGAACGTTAAGCAATTCAAATTCACAGCATATGCAGAGGAAGAGTTTAGCCCCTTCCACACATACAGTACTGGTAAATTACCGGTACCTTTTCAAAAATCCGGCTACATTTTTTCTAGCAATCATATCGTTTTATGGAGATGACATGATTACTCCGAGCTGTTTACAAAGCTTCACTGCTTTTTAATTAATTATTCTATGTAAATATGCGCTAGATGGACATCTTTGAACATTGTGCCTAGCAGCTTTTTCAAAGTGTCGCGCTTCTCCATTCATCAGGGCTGCGACTCCGCAATTGGATACTATTATGCGCGTCTCGTGCAAAACATTCTGATTGGCTAGTAATGTTAGTTTGGTTGAGAGTGAAAGCTGTGCTCCTCTGACACCATTGGTAGGCGAACTCATGGACTCGAAAGTGATATCAATCAACAAGATTTTTATTTTTTTTTAAATGTAGGACTATTTTTTCCGCAGCCAAACGCTGCACGCCGGAGATCTGGCATGGTGCCGGAGAACTTTAAGCCCTGAATATAATATAATTAAATTATTAATAGAATTGTTATTATTAAAGTGAATGGGTGCAAATATTTCGGTGGATTGGGATGTGAAAAGACAAAAGGGAAGAACTTTTAACACTGGAAGCATTATTATAGAATTATGGCCGGAAGTGATGGTTTAAAGCTAAAATGCCTTGATGGATTTGTTTCTTACAATCATGCAGATTTTCACTTTACAAGACATGATGGACTTGAGTCGATGGACAGATGGACTGGAGTCGAGTAGATTACTTTTGGATTATTGTGATGTTTTTATCAACTGTTCGAACTCTCATTCTGACGGTACTCATTCACTGCAGTGGATCCACTGGTGAGCAATGATGTTAAATTTCTCCAAATCGGTTTCGATGAAACACTCAGGTCATCCAAGATGCAGATGAGTTTGAGTAAATGTTTAGCAAATTTCCATAAATCCAAACAATATATACAAACTGCAGAAATGCAAGGAAAGTAGATGTTTCACCAGTGATCAGTGTTGGGAGGGCGTTTTGAGTGCATGCATTCCATTTGGAGCAAACTGTAACAAAAATATCAGATCGGCTTCTACCTTATGGTTAAGTCTTACCATGTTAGAACAGGCACTGGCAAAGGTCATGAATTTGGGGTTAAATTGTAGACAGGTGACTGGACCAGTGTGCTTCCCATCAAGAAGTGCTACTTTCATTCCACTCTCAGCATTCCACACATGGATCTTGCCATCTTCTGATCCTGAAAATCAAAATGTTGAGGAGACAGGCATCAGTTTCTGCAACCTAATCTCAAGTCCTTTCTGAATCCATTGGTGAAGACTTACCGATCATGATGAACTGAGAGTCTGGTGTGAAAGAGGCCTCCAGAATGACACCTTTACTGTTGTTATAGCCCTGCAGTGAGGAAGAAAGAAACTCCATGATACACCATCTTAAAAACAAACTTTGACAAAACCTATTCAAAATGACACTATTTTCTCACCCCAAATGAGTGGAGCACGGCTCCTTTGAAAGCGTCCAGCACTCTGAGTGTTCCTCCATTGGTGGAGACCAGAATGAGCTTTCCATCATTGCTGAACTTGAGACCCGTCCACTCACAGGTTCGCTCATATTGTAATTTAAAAGTGGCGAATGGACCCTGATGAAGGAGGTGTGATACAAATGTATTAATTTTCATCATTTAACAGACAAATATCACTACTACTTCTAAGATGCCGTTTTATACAATTACCTTATCAAAGGAGCGTAGATCGTAAAGCTTGACCATCTCAGAATTCACTCCCGCAGCAAAAATCAACCCCTCGGGATCAAATGAGCACACAGGCTTGCCTTGCAGGTGCATGAGGCCCTGTGAACACAACCTAGATTACAATCTAGTATTGACTAACAAGAAAAACACACACTAACCCAAAATAAAAATACTGCTTACCTGACAGTTAGGTGAGCGAAGGTCCCACAGGCGAATAGTTTTATCAAGGGAGCCAGAAATGAATGTGTCGTCAACAGGAGACATAGACAGAGCAACAACCCTGAAACAGGATAAAATACACAAAAACAAGCCCTTTAAATCAAATGCCAATAAACAACAACAACAATATATTTAATGTCACAGATCCTCACCTCTTACTGTGTCCAGGAAAGTAGCGAATGTACTTATTGTCATGTAGGGACAGGTATCGAATAGTATCTGTGATACCACATTGGTAGTGAGAAGAAAATATCAATAGTATGTCAAAGTAAGATTTTACCAGTGAATCGATAAAATGTACTGTATACGGTGTCAGATGAACAAGCTCAACCCTGGGCAAGGCAGTAGTCTGTACAGTTAGCTCCTTAACAGGGCAGAACAACAGACCCTAAAAACTGTACAAACAACTACCTCAACCCAGAGCAGGCACAGGTAGACACAAACCTCAGCAGTAAAGCTTTGAGAAAATCACTTAAACATAAAAATAAACAAATAATTATAAATAATAAACATTATATATACATATATATATATATATAGAAAATGTTCTACTTTTAGGTAAAATAAAGCATATCACACTGAAGGAAAATGCTGTCATAATATGAAAAACAAAGAAATAAAAAGGCACAATTAACAACGTACTCCTGGATAACATTTTATCCTGAGAACCATAAAAAAAAGTTTTATGATTTTTGTTGTTTTTTGTCATTACATTGGTTGGAGCATAAGAAACAAATGGAGAAAAAAAATATATATATATTTTATTCTATGTCCTTTGTAGAGGAACGCCAGGACTAAGTTATTCAGATAAATAAATGGACACAAAAAGGCATGTATAGGCAAAAACAATGTTTTATTTTTTTCATTCACCAAACAGTTTTTAGGTTTAAGGCTATTTTTAGCTAAACTTTCTACAAATGATGATTCTCAACTATTATGAAAGATATAACAGAATGATTTGGAATATGTGCCAATAAATTGGTATTCCCATTCTATACAATGTATCTATACATTGCATCTAATTTGCATATGAATGTGTTCTTGGGGGAAACCATAATGAAAAAAAGAAGTGTTATAATGGGAGTAATAACTTAGCAACATTTTCATAATATCATCTCATATTTCATAAGAATATTGATCTATAATTTCTTTCCTTTCTTACTTCTAGTGTCTCCCCAAAATGCCTGATTAACATGATTTTTGTCCTGTGTCCTCTACAGAAGACGTGTATGAAAATTCTGCAGTTTCGTAAAACAAAGTCATATTCCGATTTGAAACCCCATAACAATTTTCTGAGATGTTTATTCACAACAAACAATTTGAAAATTAGCCAGATTTAAATAATAATTACAAAACATCAGATTCCCCTAAGAGTGCTAAATTTGATCATTCTGTTAATATCAGTCATAGTTAAAGACCAAGGAGAGGGAGTGTTTATGATATCTCTAAAAAGCCCTGAATGTGGCATACATGGTCTCAGGGAACTTCACTAAAATATAATGTATTTTACAAAGGACAAAAGTCTAAGCCCCAGGGGGGTCCCATGAGGGTATGACAAAACTGAACGGCATAGGAACTAAAACAACACATTATCATACTGAGACTTTATAAAGGAGTCCTACCATCAATCTTGTTGGAGCTGTAGACAACAGTGTTGGCGGCATGGGTGTATCTGATGAGATCCACACCGTACTTCTTACTGTAAAGCGTCCGTTTGGGTCTGATATAAAGGACATAGACGAGGAAATAAATAAGTTAATCTGGTTGCTTAATTAGAAACATGCCATTATGTGTGTGTCTGTATCATGAAACACATAACATTATGTCATTACATTGGTTGGAGCATAAGAAACAAATGGAGAAAAAAAATATATATATATTTTATTCTATGTCCTTTGTAGAGGAACGCCAGGACTAAGTTATTCAGATAAATAAATGGACACAAAAAGGCATGTATAGGCAAAAACAATGTTTTATTTTTTTCATTCACCAAACAGTTTTTAGGTTTAAGGCTATTTTTAGCTAAACTTTCTACAAATGATGATTCTCAACTATTATGAAAGATATAACAGAATGATTTGGAATATGTGCCAATAAATTGGTATTCCCATTCTATACAATGTATCTATACATTGCATCTAATTTGCATATGAATGTGTTCTTGGGGGAAACCATAATGAAAAAAAGAAGTGTTATAATGGGAGTAATAACTTAGCAACATTTTCATAATATCATCTCATATTTCATAAGAATATTGATCTATAATTTCTTTCCTTTCTTACTTCTAGTGTCTCCCCAAAATGCCTGATTAACATGATTTTTGTCCTGTGTCCTCTACAGAAGACGTGTATGAAAATTCTGCAGTTTCGTAAAACAAAGTCATATTCCGATTTGAAACCCCATAACAATTTTCTGAGATGTTTATTCACAACAAACAATTTGAAAATTAGCCAGATTTAAATAATAATTACAAAACATCAGATTCCCCTAAGAGTGCTAAATTTGATCATTCTGTTAATATCAGTCATAGTTAAAGACCAAGGAGAGGGAGTGTTTATGATATCTCTAAAAAGCCCTGAATGTGGCATACATGGTCTCAGGGAACTTCACTAAAATATAATGTATTTTACAAAGGACAAAAGTCTAAGCCCCAGGGGGGTCCCATGAGGGTATGACAAAACTGAACGGCATAGGAACTAAAACAACACATTATCATACTGAGACTTTATAAAGGAGTCCTACCATCAATCTTGTTGGAGCTGTAGACAACAGTGTTGGCGGCATGGGTGTATCTGATGAGATCCACACCGTACTTCTTACTGTAAAGCGTCCGTTTGGGTCTGATATAAAGGACATAGACGAGGAAATAAATAAGTTAATCTGGTTGCTTAATTAGAAACATGCCATTATGTGTGTGTCTGTATCATGAAACACATAACATTAAAAACAAAATACTAAGGCGGGCTCGGAAGGAGGCGTGGATGGTAACGGTTAACACGCGAGCTACCTCTCATTCAGACTGTGCATTCGACTCATTTCCGCGAATCGGTTCCTTCGAAATAGTCATTTCAAAGATCCGGTTAAAGATAATGCGGTTCTTTTACGTCATTTCGTGGTCCTTGACATTCGAGCGTAGCATATTACGATAGAGCCACACCAGTTATTAATAGCGGTGTTTATTAAAAATGTATGTGTTACAGTATATTTAGTTACCGCCATGATTCAGCGAAAACAACTTTAAGACATTAAAACGGCTCTGGTTTCAGTGAGTCAGTGAATCAACTCAATTGAATCACTGAAAAGATCCGACTCAAACGAATCAAACATCGCTACTGTACATAAACACGTCCAAACCACAATACTATCATAAATCTTATTACAGTACTAGTCGTTCTTAATCTTTCACATTTCACACGGGAATGCTCCTGTAACCAAGATAAATGCGTTAAGACCAAATCAACGCGGAACAACACTAGCCAGTTGTAGGAAAAAGCGACTTACTTTCCCTCCTGGCAGTCGTACAAGACAATCGAGTCGTCATCGCTACTCGATATTACAGTTTCGCCGTTCGAACTGAAGTCAAAGCAGTTGATTTTGTCCGAATTCTCTCGGAAAACCTTCGCAACCCTGAAACTCCGCAGCACATTGTCTGTGAGCTTCATTGTGGCCTTTCTGCCTGGCCAGGCGCTGGGGATCGTCTAGTCAAAAACGAGTAGATCGGGATCTGGCTTATCAGTTTTGTGTGTTGCGAGTGTTTCGTGATAATTTTTTAAGTGAAAATAGTTTTAGATGTACATTTTTGTCACGTTAAAAAAGCCCGCCGACAAAATTAGTCAACGAACCGGATTGCGAAGCCGAGATGAAGCTAGCGGTAGTAAGGCGGTAAACAAAATGGCCACCACACCTGCGGACGTTTCAGAATAAAAGTCCCATGCCGACTTGAGCTGAGAGTCAAAGCCAGAGGAAGATTTTGAAGTTATTTAGGGGTCTGATTTATTGTATACACTTAACATTAACCTTCCATGACGTACACGAAAAAAATGAGTGAACGTCCGGTTAGCCTATTTAGTTTTGATTTGACAGCTGTAATGAGGATCTGAATTTCACATCTGCTCTCTAGCTGCTGATGTGTTTATCTGTATTTGTTGCTAGGTTGATTCCTATACAGTCTATGGTCGAGTCTCATATTTCAGCCATGATCAAATGCCACATTTATAATCCATCAACAGTATATTTAGTTTCCCATCATAATTTCTGTCCAAGACTTTTTTCAAATAAATGCAGGGCTGAACAGAAACAGGACGTTATTATCAAACTACAAGATGAATCTATTCTCTCTCGTATATGATACATTCTGCACATAGACATCATACTAGCCTCACCCAAAACCAGCCAGTGGTATAAAAGTAAAGACTGGACTGTTCTAGACAATTACGCCGAGAAAATCAGCATCAAAAGCTTACCAAATACAAAGCAGACAAATTTTTTTTCAGTGAATTAAAGAGCTGGATTAGGTGCACTTATCTTTGTTTCCTTTCTAACCAAACAAATCTAGAATGGCAAGCAGTGATTCAAATGTGAGTTCTGTACTGTGTAGACTTCTGCAATGAACATATGATTAATATGAACTTGAATTAACCAGCATCTGTTTTTCAAAGGGGGAAATCTGCACCGTTGGAGATATGTATATATTCACAGTGAACGTAAGTGAGTTTGCACCAGAAGAAGTTACTGTAACCTCCACCAATAATTCAATCCAAGTCTGTGCAGAAAAGGTAAGCAAAATAAATTCTAACCGCTATTTTAATAGCAAGCTTTCTCTTCACTGATTTTTTTTGTTTTAAAAATGAAGAGCATTGATTGGGCTTTGTTTGTGTTTTTACTCAACATCTTATTATATTCTGTGTCTTTTTTTAATTTAAATGATTTTCTTTCTTCTTTCGAGTCAGCTGGCATCAGATGGCACAATTGTGGACTCTGTTTGTCAGAAGTGCCAATTCCCGGCTGATGTGGATCCAATGACAGTCACATCTTCTCTAGAGAAAGGTGGCTTGTTGAGTATTAAAGCCCAAAAACAAACAGTAAAAGGTTCTGCAATCATAGATTCAATCTAAGAAGTGAAAACTTAATGTATGGATGTATGTTTGAGCATTTTTGAAAAAATCAGTTTTCTTATTATTGTACTCTAAATGTCATCATTTGGATTATTAAACAAAAACAAAATGTTACAATTTGTGTTTGTATTTTAATAAGGATTTTGACTTCAAAATATAATCTGAGGTTCATGAGTATATGCATATAACAATGTTTTTTGTTGCAACTGTCTTCAAACTACAAGCAAACTCATTTCATGACATTTTAATATTTTTGTTCACCATTTCTTGACTCACAGATATTTGTCACTGACTGAAATGACTAATAAAATTATAGGCATTTAGGAACCTGAAAAATACTTCAAGTAAGTGGTATTCAGAGTTTCCATAGCAGCATAGTCCATCTATGAATTTTATTGACAAATCCATGTTAGATTGACCCACAATATACGTACAAGCTATACAATGATCACTGAGTCTGTTTCTCTGAGAGCAGCCTGTGTGGAGATGGACACAGATGAAGCAGCCACACAGTCTGGGTGCCACAGGTTTTCTGCAAGGGCATTTAGGAGGGGTGCTACTTCACCAAGCCCCGCACTCACATCACCTCCCACTCGGAAGATCGGAAGACCCCACACTTCTTGAAAATGTGTTACGTCGCTCTCTGTCACATCTGTGTGCATAAATGAGTCAAATCTGCACTGTTAAGGACCATACATGTCACATGACAACACAACATTATGCTGTTAATCAGTGCTATTTTAGTATCATTCAAATACTATTATAGTTTTTAGTAACATTTTGAATGTTTTTATTTTTATATTTTCCATTTTCATTTCCCACATAATTTTGTTGTGATTTTGTCATTTTTATTTGTAAATATATCTATATAATTTCAATAATTTTTTTAATTTCAGTTTTAGTTATTTTAGTATATCAAGTTAAACTAAGAAAAATAAGTTTAAGGTTTTGATATTTTATTTCAGTTATTGTTTATTTTATTTCAAGTAACATTTTTTAAATAAACTGTAATAACCCTGCATAATAACACATACAGTAGGTATAGAAAATAATCACCCTCCCTTTAAAATAATAAAATTTTGTTGCTTTGAAGCCTGAAATGAAGACGGACACAGTTTTTGTTTTATCCAGCTGTATTTAGTGCAACTTATAACATCCAAGTGACAGATATAACAACAACATGTAAGAAAAACAATGCCATTGTGTCAGTATTTTGTTGAACCACCTTTTGCTTTAATTGCAGCCTTTAGTCTGTTGGGATTTGTCTCTGCTAATTTTGCACATCTAGACTTTGCAATATTTGCCCACTCTTCTTTGCAGAACTGCTCAATTCAGTTAAATTTGATGGTGAGCGTTTGTAGACTGCAGTCTTCAAGTCATTCCACAAATTTTCCATGGGGTTTAAGTCTGGGCTCTGACTAAGCCATGTAAAGACCTCTTTCTCCTTCAACCACTGTGCTCAGTTTTGCTGTATGCTTTGGGTTATTGTTATGTTGGAAGGTAAACCTTCTTCCCATTGACAACATTCTGGCAGAGGGCAGCAGAATTTCTTCAAGAATTTGACCGTATTTTGCCCCATCCATTTTTCCTTCTATCCTGACAAGTGCTCCAGTCCTTGCTGCAGAGAAACACCCCATAACAGGATAGCACCACCTCCATGCTTTACTGTAAGAATGCTCAGTGCTTGAAGTGGAAAAAAAGAAGTGCCGGTACCCAGTTTTGGAGATCCCGCCCCCATTTGGAAATCTCCAGGCTGCATTTATACACTTCTCGACTTTTAGAGTAATGCTGGTCCGACAGTGGAAGCGCAGCATTGGCCCCGCCTGGCCTGACAGTTGAAGAGCGACAACCCCTGCGGCAGACCGACTCCACTTGCATTCATTCACGCGATTTCTGGAGATGAGAGGTGACCCCTCCTGGTAGTGTGATTTGTATACTGTTATATTTCACCAGACACTGACGCTTTGACTCTGAGTAGGCCTATTGGCAACATGTTAGAAGTGCCAGTACGCACAAAAAAGTGCCAGTACGCTAAAGACTAAAATTCAGAAGTGCCGGTACTGTGTATCGGTGCATACCAGCCCACTTCAAGCATTTGGATGGTGAGCTGTATAGGATTTCCGCCAGACATTTCGTTTGGTTTTGAGGCCAAATCATTCAATTTTAGTCTTATCTGCCTCAGAATCTTCAAGGTGTGGTTTGGCAAAGTTCAGTCATGACTGCATGTAGCCTTTCTGGAAGAGTGGCTTTTTTTCTTGCAACCCTCCCAATTACAATTTGTGTGAATTTGTGATATTGTTGTCACATGCATACAATGATCACTCTTTGTCATAAATTCGTGCAACTGCTTCAGAGTTGCTGTAGGCCTCTTGGTCACCTCTCTGACCAGTTTCCTCCTGACTCTTTCATCCAGTTTGGAGTGACATCCTGATTTGGGGAGGGTCTGTGTTGTACCAAATACCTTCCACTTTTTTTTAAGATTTATTTTTGGCATTTTATGCCTTTTATTTAGATAGGACAGTAGGTCGACAGGAAGCGAAGTGGGTGAGAGAGAGAGAGAGGGGTGGGATCGGTAAAGGTCCACGAGCCGGGACTCGAACTCGGGATGCCCGAAGCGCAAAGGCGCTACATGTCGGCATGCTGCCCAGGAGGCCATTGGCGCTGACAGTTTCCACTTCTTAATAATACACTTCACTGTGCTTCTAGGCATTGATAAAGCCTTTGACATTTTTTTGTATCCATCTCCTGTAGTGGTCGACCAATATGGGTTTTTTGACAGCCAATACCGATGCCGATATCTTGGAAAGCAGGGTGGCCGATGGCCGATGTAATTCTATTTATTTTAATTAATATTTAAGAAATTTGAAAATGGATTAAAAAGTAAACGTGTAAAACAAACATACTTATACTCTAGAAGACAAAGTATTTTTCCAAATAAATAAATATTTAATAAAAATATAATTAAAAAGGAAGTAAACACTGTAACCAACAGGGCACTCGGTATTCTGGGAAGTTTGTGTGCATTGGGAATCATATTTTTTCAAATAAAGCCAAGGTAACACTCATTTTACATACAGCACACAGTGAAAATGGCATGAATATGACAGTGGGCAAATGCATAAATCGCAGCATAATTTGAAATCAGTCACGAGATTAAACTTTGTCGATCGCGCGTCTCCAGTGAAGCTGAACTCTCCTCCTGTCCGTATTCAATTCGCACGGACCATAAGACCGACCGTCACAGACCACGCGATCATGCAGGTCACAGGCACACTTCACAAGATCTCAACTAGATTAGACTAATGCTTTGTCCAAATACCCACACTTGCAGTCTTTGCCACTTGAGAGAGCGTGCACGCGACAGGAAGTAAGTGCGCAAGACTGTCCCAGGTCTTCAAAACGCCAAAGTGCAGTGCCCTTATCGCACACTAAATCCACACTATCTTGAATACCGGAGCGCTATTCGAGGCTTAGTGTATCCCATCATGCATCATGTTTTGGAATCGGAAACTTTTCCAATATAAGTTAAATAATATAATAATTAGATAGGCTATTATTACATATAATTTGGTAGAAAAACAGTGTTGCATGTTTTACAGGTGCAAAGATGCGTAGTGGTGATATTTATTTTGTACAACATTTGCAACTGCTTTTGATCACTTAATTAGAAGCAGCTGCAACTTAATCTGTCATCTGTTATAGGCACTACTGAACAGATATTTAGAAGTTGATTTTAAAGTTTTTAAAATTAAAATAAAGCTATGCAAACACTTGCATTTTTACAACACTATAAGTGTGTCCCATACG